TTCTTTGGTGGAGACAAAACAGTTGTTGAGTGAATGATGATGAACGATGGTAAATGGTGTGTAATGTGCGAATGTTAAATGTAAATGGTCATTTTCATTTTGATTCTGTTGTAAAGTTCATGTTTTTACCCGATGAATGTTTTTAACCTTTAGTGTCATATTTATTTGATTTTTATATATAAGAGAAAGACTCGATCGAAATAAAATGCTTATTAACTGCATAATAGGTGTCATTTTCATTTGCGTGATTTTGAATTGAGAAATATTTCAGTTTCAATTACAAGTTAGATTCAGACGTGATTGAGAGTTGCAATAGATCTAAATGTGAGATGATTAGTAAATTGTTTATATCATCACATGTTGTCACTATTTTTACTATGTACACTTGTGTCACAATAGTCATCACACACAAATTGTTTACTTTTTTGTTTGTTTTTGTGAATCCTGTTGTATATTTGGTGTAGAATGAAACGTATCATAGAACTATGTTGTTCGATAGTTCGAATGAAATTGTGTATTTAGTATTGTATTTTTTTGAAAATAAAATGTATTCGATGATTGCTTATTATTATGAACACATTGTGTAAATTCTTTTTGAGTTTGTGATTTAATTATACATTGAATCTGATTTATAACAAATCCAAATTATTTTTTTTATCAACTTAATGCCATTGTTTTGTATTGTGTTTTGTTGGTTGGCCATTTGCCGCGATCTGTATCGAATTATGATCTTCTTTGATTTTTTAAATTGTGACTTGTGGATGATAATGGTTTGTTTACGATTTATAAATTTTGAAAACTCGTGCGCCATATTTCTATGTGAAGAAACTTTACTTATTTGAAATTATTTTGGCAAGCTTTTATGTTCACTGTTTTTCGTTGTCATTTTTCACTTGTTATATTATTGAAGTATATATTCACCTGTTGATGATTGGATTGGTTTTTTTTCTGCATTTCTGATATTTGTAGTGTACCTTTTTTATTTTGTTTTGATATGTCATCGTTATCATTATTGGTTCTGTTTTTTACTTATATGTTACTTTACATTTGTATAATAACATTTTAATTTGATACAGTTTAAATTTTTTTTTTGCTACTGTTTCAATATTTTGATACATTTTAACTTGCTACAGTATCATTTTTGTATCAAATTTTTAATACATTTCAAATTGCTACTGTATCATTTTTTTTTTGCTACATTTGAGGTTTATTTAAACCTCACAAATTGTCTTCCGAACTCTAACGTTTATTTAAACCTCACCAATTGTCTTCCAAACTGTTGTAATATGTCAAATATTACAATTAATTCAATTATTAATTAATTGTTGAAAGCATTATAAATATGAATGAGTTTGTAAAAAATTTAATTATTAAAAAATTATTATTAGTGTGTTTATTATTCGTGTTTTTTGTTATATTCATACTACACAAACTCTAAGGTTTATTTAAACCTCACTATAAAATCCATAGTTTTGCGGTATAACTATCAGTTATTGCCGGAATCGACTGTTTTGTGATTATTTATTTGTTGTTTTTTGATATTAACGCAATGAACTGCTCGGATATTTACACAATTATTATCGTTGGCCAAATTCCCGGGAGGACAATCGAGCAAAACCTCACGAGCGAAGCTCGTGACGGTTTTGCGATGGTCCCGGAGGAGTGCCTTTCGAGCAAAACCTCACGAGCGAAGCGAGTGACGGTTTTGCGATGTCCCGGAGGTTAGGTTGGTTAGGTTTTTTTTAAATTAAAATTAATTTATTAGGGGTTTTAATGAGACTCTCATACAATGAAGTGTGGCTCTAACAATGAGAATAAATAATAAAACAAATGTAAATAAAACAAACCCAACATGCATAGAATATAAAATGGTAGTTTTTTTTTTAAATTTAAAAATATCTTTATTAAAACCGGACATGGCCAGCATGAATAAATTTCATCATAATAATAAAAATAAAAATACAAAAAGAAAAATAAAGAAAATAAAACAATCAGAATTTGAAAAAAAAAGCATAATAAAAATAAAAATGATCATATAGAGATTGTGTCCGATGTTTGTGTGTGTATACTTGATGGATTATGTGTTTTATATAAGATCGTTGAGAAGATAATTGTTGGTGGTCAAAATTGGCAAAAATTTTTGACTCATGTGAGCGACTGTGCTGCCATCTGGTTTTGGAAAGGTACTCAAGGTTTTTGTTCATTGTATTATGGATGATGATATCATATATCATTCGCCTACAAAAGCAATAAAGAATGAAAATGATCTATTAAGAATGTTCGTCCGATGTTTATGTGTGTATATGTTGGATTATGTGTATTGCCGTGTTCCATGAGCCAAATGGGATGTGATTGGTGGTGGTGAAATTTGGTAAAATTATATTTTTTGTTTTCTCATGGGCGAATGTGCTGCCATCTGGTTTTTGAAAATCAATAATTAATTCCTTGCTCAAGTTATTTCTGTTGATGGTGACCAAGTGCGAATGCGGCAAATATGGTAGTAGATGGATCAGCAGCGGATGGCCAGTGGTGGATGGACGACGCTGATGAGGAGTCGAAGCCAGGAATAGTTGGACCAGGAGGCCAAAACAGTGTCCAACCAATGATATGGATAGCCAGATGATGAGAGCCAGATCCAGCAGGAGGATCGTGTAGCCAATGATGATAGGGAAGGGAAATGGTGGGATGAATGGATGATGATGCTTGGTGATTGAAGGGTAAGATTGTTTCAATACCATGTAAACAACAAACTTTTAAAGCATAAACAAACACGAAAATCTTCAGACTTCTGCTCAAAGAAGAATTTCCTGACTTTAGCAAGTTGTCAACACAAAAGTTTTGTTTATATATGCAGCCAAGACAAAAAAATCTTTTGTGTCTTATCATTAATCAGTGTTGACATTGATAGAGGCAATTTAAACACATGGTGCTGGTGATGATGTTGAGCAATCCAATGATGATGGTAATGTCAAAGTTGATGTTGATGGTAACAAACAAAATTAATTCAAGTTGAGCAGCGTGTTCGATTGAATGTACAATAACACATAGTTAGAGCACATTTTCCGTTGTATATGTGTGGGCAGCTAAAACTATGTTGGACTTAATTGTACAGCTTGTGTGGTAATGGATGTGCATGTTCAATACAGTGGTGATTTTACATTAATGCTGCTAGGTGAATTTGATGAGCAATTGTAGTACTTTTTGGTGTTAATTCATAGATGACGTATGCAATGGTTTAGGTAAAACAAGGACAATGGTTTGGGTTAGGTTTTTTTTCATCATGTATAATAATCCGCAATAACATTTTCAATTTATGGTGTATCAAAAACTCTCGGTTCGTAACTGAATAATTAATTTTTCATTGTTTGGCTATTGGTTTCATTTTCAAAATAAATGCAGACCGTACATGGAATCAATGGCCATTATAGTTGAAACAAATAAATCGATATGTCAATGAAATATTGGTGAAATCCAAATGACATTTTGTTGGTTCGAAGACTACAATGTTGTGTTTATGATGACGATGAAAATGATGAAATGAAAAATAAAATGAATGTAAAGAAAGAAAAAGAAAATATAAAATTGATGGTGGCAAAAATTAAGAATGTAAACAGAAGAATAAAATAAAATGAAAAAGAAAAAATAAAATAAAAATCTTGGTTCAACTGGTTTCAAAGATATGCATAATATGAATCAGGTTGTATGATTGAATTTATTGCTAATATAAAATCACTTCCAAGTTCGATTCAAATAATATTAACACAATGATATGGCCAATGAATAGTATTAACGTAGGCAGCCAGTAAGTGGACAATAATCAAATCGTGTGATGAACAGATTGGATATCGAGACAGGTTTGATCATCAGAGAATCCAGATCGATGTTGGCCATATGACCGGTTAAACTGTGATACGAAGAAATGAAACGTAGGGAACCCGAAACGTCTGGCAATTTCAGAATAGCGTTTTACTGGTGATGGAATTATCATGAACCCAATTGTTGTGTTGATTTTTCTTGCAGCGTTGATATGAGACTCGACGATGTTGGCCGTGTCTTTTCTGCTTTCGTTGGATGGGATCATTTCATAATGGTTAGGTTGGTTGTTCTTTAGGTTAGTTAGGTTAGGTTTTAGTAGATCCGCCTGTAGGATGGAACAATGATTTGCAGCCGATAAGTGACCGTCGCAAATAGGAACGCCATTTATTGATTTTATAAATATTTGCCTGTTAGTAGTGGAAATGGTTGACAATAATTCATTTATATTGTTAGCATTATTTATCCAAAACAATAAAAGTGGCATATGGCGTGGACACAATAGTGGTTATTGCCCGTTTCATACATGGCCGCAGGACGTAGAATTTAATGGTTTTTAACCGGAGGCCATATGTCTTTTTGTGCAATCGTCATTATTTTTGAATACACGGGCGGCTTTTTCAATGCATCCAGGTTGAATCCTATTAATTCCATAATGAAACAATAAATATGCACGAAATTGTGGAATGGATAATCGTCCGCGAATGGTTGGACATGTAAAGTTGATACGGAGAAAGGATCAATAAATTCCACAAAATGGGACCTTACTACCGATCCTTGACTGTATCACCAGAATGTGCCGGTCGTCAAGTAATCACTTATAAATGGTACACCTTTCATGAGAATCATTCGTTACTGATTGGATTGATCAAACGCGCCACGGATATCCGTGAAATTAATGCTGTGGTTTACTGAAATGGTGATTGATGATGTTCGGTGGCGGTAATGATTGGCACAGTTACACAATTTCAGGGTCGTATGTCTTCAGTGAAACGATGCGTAGTGCATTGGCGGTGATGGCGATGAATGGGGCCATTCGAGGGGTTTGTATATTGCTTTTGCTAGGCGTTGAGTAAAAAGACAATTTAGGTTTCTTTGAATCGTCATTATTTTCTTAGATTAGGTTAGGTTAGGTTAGGTTAACCAGGTTTTGGGAAACTGGCGGATTGGGTGATCGAATTCGCCTGTTTTTTTTTTAATTAAAAATTAATTTATTTTCTGCTTTATATAGGCAGCAATGGCCGCCAGAATAAATACAATGTATGGCTCGATGACAATGTGGATGGCGATGGCAATGACAATAAAAATGATAAAATAAATAAATAAATAAATAATAAAAAATAAAAATCCAACATGCAATAGAATAAATAAATAAATAAATAAATAAATAAATAAATAAATGAAAACAAAAACTTGTGTCCTGTGTTTGCATGTTGGCGTGTACGTCTGTAAAAGATGTGTGTGTGATTGCAGTTGTGTGTCCTATGTTGGTATCTGTAAAAATTTGTGTGGTGTATGCATGCATCAAGAGTCCTATTGTTCTAACGGACGGGTGACCAGAGAGTGAAACGATGCGCACAATTTCGACTTCTGGTATTTTTACACCCTCGTAAGCAGGTGATCCTACGTTACGCCGTTTCCCAATATTCTTCTTCTGTGTTCTGTGTTAATGTAGAGTCTGTACAAACTGTATGTGTTACTGCAAGGTGGTTGTCATGCGAAACCAATCATGAGCCGAATGGCCAGACTGATCACCGAGATCGGTAGCACTAAACCGGTGTGTATGTGTGTGTATAAATATTTGTGTGAATGTTTGTGTATGGATCACTTGAACGATAAAAAATTTAAAATAGCCTAACACGCACATAAGGCAAGTGAAACTGGGCAATTATGCCTAAGTTGATTTTTGCTTAAATAGCCTGATCTGACGCTTGCCGGTTTGTCCTATCACATCGGCATTGACCCTGACTTGGTCATCTATGCTATGCGCCAGACCTATGACTATAGCTTGCCAGTCAAACGCGCGCAAACATTGAGTGTCGTTCAAATTTTGTGACATGCGCGTGTATGTGTATACATATGTGTGTGTGCGTGTAGCCATTCGTTGTGTGAGTGATTGACTGCAGCGTACGTGTTCTGTGTATGTGTCATGTGATGCTGCAGCCAATGTGTTGCCGAGCAGCTGTTGTTGCACAGCAACATGTGTTTACAAATACAATGTTGACTTACATTGCATTTCTACCATCCAGTGATCCAATGTTTGTCGATACAATTGTTGCCATCTCGATCCATCCAATGAGCCATCCAACGCTGGTACGTGTTGGGGATCCATCACCATACTAAACACACCGAGACTCGATCCATTCTTGGCTATAATACTGTTGGTTACCATACATCCAAATACGATCTGTTGATTTAATACTGTTGTTTACATGGTACATAAGTACCATGGCGTTCGTCAGCCAGCCACCAAAATTCTCCTATCATCATGCCAAGCAGCGTCCACTGCAGAAAACCACCAGTTGAATACCGTTCGCCACCGACCAGTGGGATAGTCTGCCACATCCTGTCGATTGAAACATCAGTTGCCACCACCGCCTCTACCAGCAACCAGACCATCAAATGGATCCAATAAGCAATGGTTGTTTACGGGAACCACCCACTGGATTGCTTAGCCATGGTTCAACAGGTGCTGTGTCCTATGTGTGTGTGTGTACGTGTGAGATGAATGTTGTATCCTGTGTGTGTTGAACATGTAAAAACTGGTGTAAGTATGTGTGTGTGTTCACTCTGTTGAGCACGGTGGATCCATGTTCAGCGTTCGGACCAGATTGATACACCACTGATGCCGGCTGTTTAGGGGAGCCACCCAGGAGACACCAGTGTCTTCGTCAGCTAGCCGGTATGTATCGATACAAATGTTGTGTTCATTGTTGTGTGTGTTGTATACTACAGGTGTTATGTATGCTATGAAAAATAAAAACTTTAAGAATAAAACCTACAATAAATACTGTTTCGTGTTGTATCCGATGTGTGTGTGTTCGTCGGCTGCCAGAAAAATTTCGTCTATGAACCAAGTCCGGTGTTAATGCCACAGTGACCGCCCCCGGGACCCGACTACAACGTTGGCCAACTATTGGATTTCATCTTCTGGCTAAACTATCGCCAATCACAATAATTGTTGTAGTTTAGGTTAGGAATGTTATCAGTAAAACCTCACGAGCTACGCTCGTGAGGTTTTACGGGGTCCCGGAGGTTAGGTGATATGGGCCATGCGAAGCCATCAGTGTACCCGGCGTGCCATCAATATTCCTGCCGGTTAACCCCCGTTATCATCTATGAATACCACCTCTCAGCTGGTTGGCCAACATTGCCAGCTGTTCATAGAGAACCGCCTCAATACGTATACGTTCTACGGGGGACATACACATGTTTTTTGCGGTGTCGTAGTCGCGTCGTAAAAAGGCCGCTAATGGGCACTCGAAACGTAAATGACGGACACTTTGCTCTTGATGACCGCATTGACAGCTTGCATCAGATGTGAGGCCAAATTCCTTCAGGTATTTGCCGAACTGCCCGTGACCAGTGAGCCCTTGTGTAAGCCAAAAGCTTATATATGGACTAAACTTCCTCACCTGGCCAACTGTCTGGAATAACGATTTGATGCTTCGGCCGAACTTGTCACTCACATATTCTTGATTCCATGTGGCCAACAATATTTTTCTCTGGTCCTTCTTGACAAATGACATTGGAATTTTTTCGAAGCTGAACTCTAGGTTGCTGGTAGATATTCTGCTGGCAATCTTTTTCGTCTTAACCATCTGTTGATCTTCAATGTCCACTTTAATCCAGGCGATGGTAATATTTTCGGTCAACCTGTTGACAATCTCTCTCGCCAAATTCGATATCTTTTTGTTTTTCCTCTTCAAGTGTTTGATGGCACCGATGTTGTTGCTGGTTACAGTTATCGGGGTACCTGCAAAGCAGTACTCTTGTCCCCAGGCGATAGCTTGTAACATGATAAAATGATCGGCTTGTAGCATCGAACAATATGGAGGAAGCCTGAACCGTTGCACATCCACCATGCACATATCTCTCATCACCGTGAAGCAGCAGCCAATACCGTGATTCTTTTTGATGATCTTGGTGAAGATATGGAACCTCGATCGAACCAGCGGTTGACCAGCAAATATGTTCATTGATTCAACGCTCTTTACCTCGATATCTTCTTCAACATCGGTGGCGATGTATCGACCATCATACGGGTAATTTCTTCCGATTTTAGCCAGGTTGACATTTGCCAGGAATCTGATATGAAGATGCAATGGTGGTATATCGGCAATGGCGGTGGTGGCAATAAATGACGCTGTTCGATACGATTTGGTAATCAAATGGGCCCAAGGCCTCTGAAATCTCCGCAGCTCTTTTTCAATATATTTAAAAATGACAGCATGACTCCATGCACTGGCAGCATACGTCAATGTCGGTATCAAGATCGTGTCATATAGCATTTTTATTATTCTTGGTCCAAGACCATATCTTGATCGTGCCATCCCAACCACCTGTTTGAAAATCCTCGTCGATTTTTCCATGGCGTAGCGGAGGTGGGGGCGAAAATCCAGCTTTCGATCGATAATCACTCCTAAAATCTTCATCTGATCTACTGGTTGGATGGTACTGCCATTGACAACGATTTGCGGCAAAGCCGGTGGTCGAATTTTCTTTGTCATCAGACTAATTGACGTCTTTTCGGACGCCAGCGATAGTTTACTACTAGAGCACCAGCTGCCAATTTTTTCAACTAAGCCGGTAATATCAGTTGCCAAGGTGTCCAGTGATTTGTGCCATACAACAGCTGTTACGTCATCTGCGAAAGCTTGGATGTGAAATAAACAACCCAACATGCATAGGAGAATATAAAAAATAAATAAATAAATAAATAAATGAATAAATATGAATGAATAAAAATGTGTCCTGTGGATGCATGTTGGGGTGGCTAATGTCTGTAATATAATTGTGTGTGTGTGTATCTGTGTCGCGTCCTATGTGGATATCTGTGTGAATGTGCTTGCATGCATCTAAGCATCCTGATTGTTCAGGACGGACGGTGCAGACAGTAAGCGAAGCGATGCGCACGACTTCAACTCCTGGCTATTTTTAGCATCCTCGCAAGCAGGTAAATCCTGCACGTTACGCCAAGCGTCCCAATATTCAGCTTCTGTGTCCTATGTGATGGCAGCAGGTGTCTGTACAGCAATGTATGTGGGGTTGCAGGAGTGCTACCGGCCAGTCAACGGGAGACCCGGACTGGTGATCGGTAAGCACTGAACCGGTGGTGATAACATGTGTGTGTGTAAATGTTTGTGTGAATGTTGTGTGTTGGTGTGAATCACTTGAACAAAGAAAAATTTTAAAACAGCCTATCACGCACATTAGCAAATAAAACTGGGCAACTATGTTTTCTGATTTGCTCTCAGCTTAAATAAGCCAAATCTGTTGCTTCGCCAGCTAATCCTACCGCATTGACTTGATCTTGACTGATCATCAATACTAAAGGCCTAACTTGGTTTGCACGAATTCGCGCGCTTGATACTGAAGGTCATTCAAATTTTAAAATATGCGCGTGGTGGACTGCCTATACATGTAGCTGGGAGTGTAGTCTGTTCATTGTGTGTGTGATTGACTGCAGTATACATCATTTGTGTGTATGTTCTTGTGTGACTGCAGCCAACGTGTGGATGTTGGCCAGCCTGAGCAGCTGGCTAACATATGTTTACAAAACAATGTAAACTTACATCTTGTTGATCCACAAATTATTGCCATTCGATTCGATCCATCCATTCATTCATGCCCGTGCGTGTTTGATTCACCCACCAAAGGTGACCTAAGTTGTTGATACTGTTGTTGTTGCCGATAGCCTGTTGTTGTTGTTGTTGATACTGCTGTTGTTGTTGTTGCAACCGTTGTTGTTGGATTCACCACCAATTTGTCGTCAATCAATCAGAAAATTTGCCATCAATCAACCAGAAAATTTGCCAATCACCTCATCTGCCATGGACCACCAGTTGAGTTGAATTCAGCTGTCGCCACCATCCTGCCGATTAAACCACCGATTGCCACCAACATTTCCACCAGCAACTAGACCATCCAATGGATCCGATAAGCAATGGTTGTTTATGGGAACCACCCACTGGATTGCTTAACCATGGTTCAACAGGTGCTGTGTCCTATGTGTGTGTGTGTAGGTGTAAGGCGAATGTTGTATCACTGTGTGGTGTTGATCATATAAAACTGGGTGCAGATATGTGTGTGTAATTCACTCTGTTGAGCACGGTGGATCCATGTTCAGCATTCGGAAGGACCAGATTGATACATCACTGATGCCAGCTGTTTAGGGGAGCCACCCAGGAGACAACACCAGTGTCTGCGTCAGCTAGCCGGTACGTAGAATGCTAAATGTTGTGTTCTATGTTGTGTGTGTTGTGTAACTACAGGTGTTATGTATGCTTATGGAAAAGATAAAAACTTCAGGAATAAAACCATAATAAATACTGTTTCGTGCTGTTATCTGTTGCCAAAGTGTGTCTTCCATCTGCTGCCATAAAAGTTTCTGTCTATGAACCAAGTCCAGTGTTGATGCCACAGTGACCGCCCTCCAGGGACCCGACTTCACAACGTGTCGGCCAACTTATTGGATTGATTTCATCTTCTGACTAAACTATCGCAAATCACAATAATTGTTGTAGTTTAGGTTAGAATGTCATCAGTAAACCTCACGAGCTTATGCTCGTGAGGTTTTACGGGGTCCCGGAGGTTAGGTGATACGGCCCATGCGGCTTCCATCAGTAAACCCGGCGTGCCATCAATATTCTTGCCGGTTAACCCCCGCCATCATCTATGAATACCACCTCTCAGCTGGTTGGCCAACATTGCCAGCTGTTCATAGAGAACCGCCTCCATTCGTGTGTGCTCTTCGGGGGACATACACATGCTTTTCGCGGTAGCATAGTCGCGTCGTAAAAAGGCCGCTAATGGGCACTCAAAACGTAGATGACGGACACTCTGCTCTTGATGACCGCATTGACAGCTTGCATCTGAGGCAAAACCAAATTTTTCCAGATATTGGCGAACTGCCCGTGACCAGTGAGCCCCTGCGTGCTTTCAAAGCTTTGCTATATGGACTAAATTTTCTCACCTGGTCAACTGTCTGGAATAGTGACTTGACGGTCCGGCCGAATTTGTCGTTCATGTATTCTTGGTTCCATGCCGCCAACATTATTTTCCTCTGGTCCTTTTTCACGTATGTCATTGGAATTTTCCTGTAGCTGAACTCTAAGTTGCTGGTGGATGTTCGTTTGGCGATTTTCTTCGTCTTGATCATTTGTTGATCTTCATTGTCAATTTTAAGCCAGGCGATGGTGATATTTGCAGTCAACCTGTTGACAATTTCTCTTGCCAGGTTCGATATCTTTTTGCTTCTCCTCTTCAGATGTTTGATGGCACCGATGTTGTTGCTGGTCACTGTTATTGGGGTTTCTGCAAAGCAGTTCTCTTGTCCCCAGGTGATGGCTTGTAGCACAATAAAGTGGTCGGCTTGTAGCATTGAGCAATATGGCGGAAGCCTGAACCTCTGCACATCTACCATACACATGTCTCTCATCACCGTGAAGCAGCAACCAATACCACTATTCTTTTTGATGATCTTGGTGAAGATATGAAACCTCGATCGAACCAGTGGTTGGCCAGCAAATATGTTCAACGATTCCACGCTTTTTACTTCAATATCTTCGACAACATCGGTAGCAACGAATTGACCATCATACGGATAATTTC